CCCAAGGTGGGAAACTGGGGACCCCAGTGTCCCCCAGTGTCCCCCAGTGTCCCCCAGCGTCCCCCAGCCCTCACACCCACCCCAGCCAAGGACCAGGACCTGCTCCCGTCCCCTCTCCCCAGTGCCAGAGGGGTGGCAGTGCTGCCAGCGCTGGCTCTGGGGGTCCTGTGGGGGCTCACCCGTGTCCCCCCCGTGTCCCCTCGTGTCCCCAGGCTCCAGCAATGCCTGTGAGAAGACATCGTTCGTGTTCCTGCGCCAGGAGCTGCCCGTGCGCCTCTCCAACATCATGAAGGAGATCAACCTGCTCCCGGACCGGGTGCTGCGCACGCCCTCCGTGCAGCTGGTGCAGAGCTGGTCAGTCCCGGGGACACGGGGACACTGCCAGGGGGCTGCTGGCACTGCCACCACCCACTCCTGTGCCGGCTGGGGAGCTGGCACTGCTGGCACCTGGCCAGTGCCACTCTCCTGAGGTCCCACTGCCTCAGGTCCCCTTGTCACCCTCCTGGGTCCCCCCCACCGTCACCTGCACAGCTCCCATTGCCACCACCGCTCCTGTCACCGCCCAGAGGGTCCCGCTGTCACCTCAGTGCCACCACCGTTGTGTGTCCTAGGGCTGTCACCAGCTGTCCTCCCCTGCAGGGAGCTGGCACGGGGGGGACACAGGGAGGGGTGACAGGCAGGGCACTCCCCAGCTGGTGCCAGGCTGGTGACACGGGCTGCGGGTCCTTTGGGGACACTCCCGTGCCAGCGGGGTGTCCCCAGCCAGCGGGGGGGCCACCAGTGCCACCTGCTTCCTGAAGGGGCCGAGCCACAGGATGTCCCTGTCCTGGGGGAGGGCCTGAGTGTCCCTTTAAGTGCGGTGTCGCTGTGCCAGTGCCAGCAGTGTGACCCTTCTCCCAGAGCCACCACGTCACGTGTTGTTTGTCCAGTGTCCTGGGCCGCTGCCAGCGGAGTCCGGCCGTGCCAAGGGGTCAGGCCATGCCAGGGGGTCCGGCCGGGCATCACAGCCCTGACCCCATCAGAGGGGCAGTGTCCCCAAGTGTCCCCAGCTGTCCCCAGGTGTCCCCAAGGACCCCCGTGCCAGCAGGGGAGTGGGACAGTGACCCCTGGTGCAGCAGATTTTGGGGTGGGGGCCTGGATTGAGGGGTGCTGAGCCCTGGCCCTGCGTGGTGTCACCTGGGGTGTCCTCTCTGTTTGGGGGTGCCAGCTGTGGGATGACCGTGTCCCACCAGGTACGTCCAGAGCCTGCTGGACATCATGGAATTCCACGACAAGGACCCCGAGGACCAAGCCACGCTGGGACAGTGAGTCGGGAGGTGACAGCGTGTCCTTGTCCCCAGTGCCAGCGTGTCACCTCCTCCCAGAGCCGTGCTGGTGTCACCCAGGGTCACCCCGAAGTGCCCCCACCCCCCGGTGCCAGCGGGGTCAGCTCCGGGTTTTCCCAGCGCCCCCAGCTCCCGGGCAATCCCGGCCTGGATTCGGGCTGTGCCCGGACCGGGTGTCCCCAGCGCTGTCCCTGTCCCCTGGGCAGGTTCACGAACGCGCTGGTGACAATCCGGAACCGGCACAACGACGTTGTCCCCACCATGGCGCAGGGCGTCATCGAGTACAAGGAGACGTACGGGGACGACCCCGTGTCCAACCAGAACATCCAGTACTTCCTGGACCGCTTCTACCTGAGCCGCATCTCCATCCGCATGCTCATCAACCAGCACAGTGAGGGGGCTCGGGGGGCCCTGCCCCGAGGGGTCCTGGGTGGCCCTGACAACAGGGGGTGTCCCCAGAGCCCCCCGCAGTGTCCCCGGGGGTCTGTCCTGAGGGTCCCCATCATCACTGGGTGTCCCTAGAATGTCCCCCCCCAGCCCCAGGGGTCTGTCCCAAGTGTCCCCACTAACCCTAGGGATCCCTGGGGTCTGATGTTCTCCCCCACAACCCCAGGGTGCCCTGGCGGTGTCCCTGGGGTGTCCCCAGCTCGTTGTCCCCTCCCCAGCCCTGCTCTTCACTGGCAGCACCAACCCCGCGCACCCCAAACACATCGGGAGCATCGACCCCCACTGCAACGTGGCCAACGTGGTGAGAGGTTGGTGGGGTCTGGGGTCCCACCGGGTCTGGGGTCCCACCCCCACAGCGGGGAGGAATTTGGGGGTGGGGGTTGTTTGAAGGTCCCCCTGGCAGCACTCGTGTCACCGGTTTGGGGTGGCCTCAGCCAAACCGTCCCTTGAGCTGTGCAGTCGCTGCAGGAGACCCCAAAAACTTCCCAGATCTGTAGGAATGGGGAATGTTTGGGGGTGGGGGGACCCCAGAGGCTGCCCCTGTTGGTCCTGGGGGTGCTGAGCCCTCTGTCCCCTCCTTTGCCAGACGCCTACAACATGGCCAAGCTGCTGTGTGACAAATACTACATGGCCTCACCCGACCTGGAGATCGAGGAGGTCAACGGTGAGGGGACAATGGGGCTGAGGGGACAATGGAGGGGCTTCTTTAGGTTTGGGGGTTCCCAGGTTGCTCCTTTAGGGATGGGGTCCCTGGGGCAGGAGGATTTTTGCGGGGCTCGTTTTGGGTTGGGGTCTCCATGACAGGGTTGTTCGGTTTATCGAGGTTTGGGGGTCCCCGTGGTGGGGGAGGTGACCCATTTAGGGCTGGGGGAGTTTTAGGGTCAGGACTGTCCCCACCAATGCCTGTGTCCCCCCCCAGCCTGCAACGCGGAGCAGCCCGTGAACATCGTCTACGTCCCGTCCCACCTGTACCACATGCTCTTCGAGCTCTTCAAGGTAGCCCAGCCCTTTGGGGGGTCCCGGGGGGGCTGTGGGGGTGCCCCTGACGCCCCCCCGGGGCTCCGTGTCCCCAGAACGCCATGAGAGCCACGGTGGAGAGCCACGAGAACAGCCCGCGGCTGCCGGCCATCAGGGTGATGGTGGCCCTGGGCCAGGAGGACCTGTCCATCCGGGTGAGGGACCCCGCCCCGCCCCGGGGCTGTGGGGAGGGGGCACACGGACGGGCTTGTCACCCGCCGCGTGTCCCCAGATGAGTGACAGGGGCATGGGGGTGCCCCTGAGGAAGATCGAGCGGCTCTTCAGCTACATGTACTCCACAGCCCCCACCCCCCAGCTGGGCAGCGGGGGCGCCCCCCTGGT